GGGGGGGGGGTGCGTGGGCGTACGTCAGTTTCGACGGCTTCTGCTCGGTCATTCACGTGGTCATTCCGGAAGGATGGACTCGAATTATTCGCTTTTAAATACTATTTAGAACTTCTCTGACTCTCTGGATGGCCTTCTTAAGAGTTGATGTTGTTACTGTTTCGCTGAATTTCGTGAACATCTTACTGCATTTAATTGCTCTCGTGCACTTCTTTTCTCCGCATGAAGATGCGGGGGAGGGGCACCCAAACGATTGCACAATTCTCTAATTTTTAGTTGAAAATATTGCTGTGGCTGCATATGTGTACCACAATCTACAATGAAGTCAGAGGAGGGGGGGGGGGGGGGGGCGAGGCAAAATACTAATAGGTTTTCGAGAGTCTCGGCGGAATGGGTCAAATGTGTAGGGGAATGGAAATTGTCCTTCGATCGGACAGTGTAACATTGTACTTTGTACCCAATCAACAGGTGTCCGAGAACAGCATTCGGATCAAGTCGATCTCCTGGTGCTACTGCTGCTGCTGCTACTGCATCGTCCTGTTTCTTGAATTTGTTGGAAATTTCATTGATTATCTGATGCATTTCAGGCTACCGGATGACCAGGTTACGATTGCTCGGGGGTCTACTAGCTGTAGCGAAGAATAATTTCCTTGTAAGTTTACATAACTGACTCGAAAATTCATTTTTGAGCTTCAGAATTTTCCAAATTTTAAGTATTTATTAGGAGAAAAAAACCGGAACGCTAAATTTAATTCTTAAATTTCGGATTTCTCGAAAAAATTATCGAAAATTCCAGATTTCAAGATTTTCAGAACTTTTTAACACTAAATTTCATTATCAAACTTTAATTTTTCGTAAAAAATTATCAAAAAATTTAAATTTCTGCTAAAAGTGATTTATATTTTTTAATGTTATTTTTGTTTTTAAATTTGAAAATTCGCAGCAAGAATTTTTGGAATTCTCAAATTTTTGTTAAAAAATGCGGGAATTTTTACTTGCTTTTTGCTTTTGAAAAGTTATAAATATACGTGAAAAGGTCACAGAACACGTCGACAACGTTTCGCTCGGCAGGCACTCTGGTACTCGCGGAGCACAGCGTCGATACGTTGAATTCGATCACGTTGAATGCTGTTACGGCAGCTACGAAGCTGGGCGCCGAAGTGTCGGTTGTGGTGGCTGGCGCAAATGTGGCCAAAGTTGCCGAACAGGTTGGTCATTGCTATCGCACCTTTAATCACACCGGCACAAATGACGCTGCACTGGATGTCCATATTCCCAGGATTGCGCATGGGAGCCCTTCCCAACGTTATGAAAACCAACAATACTGTCCAGGAGGAGCTAGCTCTGATTTGTTTTGGAATATCAGGTACATTGGCGGATCCAGGAGGGGGGCGACGGGTTTTCCGCCCCTCTCTCCTCCTCCAAGGGCATAGGTAGCAGTTGTTTTGCTGTAGAAAACTCTCTTCGATGCTCTCTGTCGCCCCTCCCTCCCCCCCCCCCCCCCCCCCCCCC